TATATATATATATATATATATATATATATATATGATCTAAGCGCTTTGAATCCCTGAGGATGTGATTAATCAAAGCCATTTAGACCTCTCCGCATATCCTTTCATCATGCTTTCTTACATATTCCTCCTCACGCTGATAATAACCTCTGACATATATATATATATATGTCTTTTCTTTAAGGCTGTCACCTCTAAGGAACAAGTGAAACAGAAGTAAATGCAAAGGTTAAAATATAATGTAACGAATTGAAAAGAAATAAATTAAACACGGATATTTCCTGGAGGAACACAGGCAGGTGCATAACGCGCCAGATTTTACTGAGGCAACGACGTAAAAAATTAATTAATGACGAATGGACTTATACATTTTTCTCTGGATGATGTAATGATGCTCAGGCTAAAACTCCAGATTATATTTATATAGAATAAATTTGAGGAATTATATTAAATCCTAAACCAATTATATTTTGAGTCTTCATATTATAACGGGTTACATAATGACTGTCTAGAATGAAACAGTTTATCCAGTGGAGTGGCGTATCTCTAATAATTTATAGTAGATAATGCCAAGTGACTTACCTGTTCAAGTGTAATAACACATTTTAATATATCATTACTTGTTGTTTTAAAATGACGAGTTGTGTTCAGGGTCTCAATGCACATAGACGAATCCCATCTGGAAGGATCGTTTGTTTAATTGAATTTTTGGTATCCTACTTACACGGTTAGGAATTAGGTTATGTTAGGATAGGGTAGGTGAGGTTAGGTGAGGTTAGGTTAGGTTAAATCACCAATCGTCCTTTGGGAATCGTGTACGTGACATATAATCCTGGTCAGTGGTCACCTCACAACCCAGAGTCATGGTTCATTGTAAGAAGTAAGGGTCAAGGTCAAAACAACAAAGTGACGCTGCTCCTCCTGAACACGTTGTATTAGCCTCGAGGTAGCCACAAGCTCACTGCTGTTGCTGTGACAAGGGTGAGAACATGTGAACATTAACCCTTTAGTTAGAGGCCAATGTAGTATTTAGCTATTTTATTCTAGCTAATACCAGACGATTTTATTCAGCTGAGAGGAACTCCCTGCCTTACAAAGGGTCAAGTACCCCAGCTTAACACACCTGTTGTTTAGAAACCTTAACGCTAACCTAATCTAGCAAGACTTAGTATAACCCAAGCTGATCAAACCTTCTAAATCATAAACTAGTATTACCTAACCTAACTTAACCCCTCATCAGGTGAAATAAGCTAGGGAGTGTTTATAATCTTTACGTGATCCCTTTGGTGAATTACATCAATGTAGTTACAATGTCTTCTTACTGTTCTCTTCTCGCTTTCTTTTGTTTCCTTTTCTTTCCCTACCTTTTCATGCGTCATTGAACTTGTTTTCTGTCACTCACTTCACTGTTCTTCAATCTATCATCTTTGTGTTGCTTCGTATGATCATCACATCTCAGCTGTTCCATCCAGTCTCAGCAACATGGATCTCATCAATATTAATTTTATTTCTCATTAACAGCTAAGGTCTAAATACTCTAGGCATCAACAATTGCGAAAAGAGATACAATATAATGTATATATATATGTATCTGGTTGAAGTACTTTTATCGAGTCAGACACTAAAGCAATCCTGAAAGTTGCTAATGGGACCCGAAAATCCGCTAGATTTGAAGAATTTTTCGCTAAGTTGGTAACGCTGTTTGTGAAACTCTGAAATTTGACAACTTTCTTCCGTTAACTTTTCAGTCTGTTACGGTGTGCTTCGTGCATATACCTGTGGCGGTTGCGTTAAAGAGAACAATCAGCATTATCCAGTCATGTGGACAAAAAGTGCAGTATGTACCTTTAATTACGTACTGTACTGGTTTCTCAGGCGAGTTAAATACACTTCCTTCCTGTATACTTACTGATGCTCTCCTTAACGGTCAGTCTGAGCGAAGGCGTCCAAATCTTAATCCGTTCATTCAGTTTTTATCGTAGGTGCTTTTAAAAAGATAGCCTTAATAATTTAGCTGCCTGGTGAGTTGCCGCTATCGTGTTTGAGAAGCACGAAACATGAGATGAGAAAATCCGGCCTTTGGCTGTGAGGTTGTTGACGGATACGGAATCTGGGGTCAGGATTCCGGCTAAAGTTCTTACGATAAGGCTTTCCTGAGATGCATGGAAGGATTTCTGAGTGTATCTTTACTGCCTCATTTGCGCTACCACATAAAGATAGCGACCAAGCTACAGTAAAGTTGTACATGGCAACCCAACACACTACTGCGCCTCGATTCCGTTCACTTAAAAACCTGTTCTGGGAAAAATACCGGGTCCACAGTCTCATACCATGGCCAAAGAATCTTAAATGAAAAAATATATATATTTGGAAATACAATGGACAACCTAACCAAACCTAACCTAACTTACTCAAGTCAAATCTTAGCAAATCTAACCTACCATACCCTAGGCTAACTCAACAAAATATAACTTAATCTAAACTAACTTACCTTAACCTAAGCTAACCTATCCTAACCTAATCTAACAAATCTACACTAATAAACTTAACCTAATTTACACTAATATAAACTAACCTAACCTAAACCTACACTACGCTGACCACCCCAAACCCTATGCATATCTCAGCTAACTTTCTAATGTGGCAAGTCTTACCTCGACCCCTAACAGAACTTACCTTTTTACCCCCAAGCTTTTGCCTTCCTGCCAGCCTCACCACTACTATGTATCCCCGAGGAGTGGCGGAGGTGAGAGGAATGAAGAATGAAGACAAGAATAATAATGTGGCACCAAATAGAGAAGACAACACAGAAGGAGAAAGTGGTATTAGAGAGAAAGTGAAGCCACGGAAGTATAGCACGTGTCCCCAAATAACACAATAACGAGTTTGGGTGTTGGGAATGTCTGAAACTTCTGTGGAAAAAAAAGCATGTGTGTTTATCCCCAGGAGGCAGCCCAGGGAACAGTCAAAACACACACCTCCGTCACCCCCCCCCCCCCCCACAAGTCTCCTCTGGTGATTTAACCCGTAACTAGATATCTTCACCATCTATGAAATACATCAGCGGGTACAGTTAATACCATTGAACACCACAGGCTAAGGTTACTGTCCTGTCTATAACACCAGAGAACTTCATGGGAGAGGAAAGCTATCATTTGTCTCTTATGTCAGGAAATACCAGTAACAATAAAGGATGTCCTGATGTCAAACAGGCTATTGTCGTTGCGCTTCGTGTCTAGGAAGTTCAACGACTAAGATCTATAAGCTTTGTTCACTCAGCTTCTGCACTAGGCAACAACTTTCAAAAATGATAAAGACAGATAATCTTGTTTTAAAAGTGACAGTCGGACGAGTGTAGCTTTTTTGTTGCACCTCCTTCCGTAAGTCGTCGGCATATCTAATATGTTTGTTTATACGCCACGGGCCGTGCAAGTTGCGGGACTGACGCAATAACAATCAGTGTGTGCGGTGATCTACTGCTGTACCGGAGTGTGGTGGTCCACTGCTGTACCGGAGTGTGCGGTGATCCGCTACTGTACCAGCCTGCTGGCAAATTATGTAACACACATGACAGCCTCGTCTCTGAGCTGAATATCAGCGTTATATGACGTGTAACAAATGGCGCTGTGCACCTGTGACACTAATGTGTAGATATGACTCACAGCAGAAGTTACTTGACTACATTGTTCAATAACTCATGATTCGCTAGTTTTACTTTTAAGCGTAAACAGAGTGGCCCTAATCAACCAAACAGAGTGGCCCTAATTAACCAAGCAGAGTGGCCCTAATCAACCAAACAGTGGCCCTAATCAACCAAACAGAGTGGTCCTAATCAACCAAACAGAGTGGCCCTAATCAACCAAACAGAGTGGCCCTAATCAACCAAACAAAGTGACCCAAATCAACCAAACAGAGTGCTCCTAATCAACCAATTTATTGTCATAAGAAAGGTTGTCTGTAGACGATGTCTTAGAATACACTACTACAATACAAACTGCAGACACATTTCAAACCATGCAGAGCGAGCTGCACAGACGGACAACAGACAGACAGAGACAGACAGAGACGGGGAAAGGTAAAAGAAATACATCCTAAAAGAGGCTTTGACTTCATCTCAAGTGCTGCTGTACTTACATGACTCACCAAACAGCCCCAGATTGTACTGTACACCTCACATGGCGTCCAGTGAGAGAATGACGTCAGCACTGTGTCTCGAAGAGTTGTCCCGAACCACCAACAAAAGCCACTTAGATAGTTAATGAATGATTACAAATACAAAAATACTCAAAAGCTGAATAACATGAAAGTAAACACACAAAAAATTGTTCGCGGTGTGACACGGGTGAATGGATGTACCAACAACTGTTTCAGTATTGCAGGTACTGTAATCACGAGGTGGTTGACCCGCAACAGGTAACTATTGATAAATGCGCCAAGTCATGTCATGGAGGTGGTCGACCCTTGACCTAGTAACTACAGGACGGGATCAGGTCAGTCAAGGAACTTTGCAAGTAGTTATCTTTGACCTGGTAATTATAACAAGCAGGAGGTCAGGCCAAATGACCACACCCGCCACACGCCTCCCCTGTATACTACTATCTAGATTCTAGACTCGAGGGATTATTACACATTGTCCGGTCCTCCTCTATATTACAAGCTTGTCTGTGGTCAGCGTCGCTTTCCAGCTGTTGTTCACTTACACACTCCAACTCCTGACCTCTCAGTCATAATGTTCCAATTTTGAGGATTGTCATTCGGATACGGGTTTATGCGGGTGCAATAAATCCGAATAAAAAACTAACCTCATTTAATGTAGCCAAAGACTACCCCCATCCAATCGGAGCTAAATTCGGGATCTTAGAAATAGGTCTTTTTTTACAACGGTGACCTCAAAGCCAACAACACCTTTTTTTTTTCTCCAATAGTCCCACCAACCAGTTGCCGTTCCAGCTGCCAGGCGGCGCAAGTATGCCCGTGAGTGAGAGTTGTGTTGACTTAAAGGCAGGGGAGTCGAGTCAGTGTACGTACAGACACGGGAGCAGGTTGTGGTGTACACATCTCTCACGTGATACAGACTGGCAAACCTCACAGCACCAGTTTGAGTGTGTCATTTCTTTCAGTCATTATACCTCCTTGTTGAGCATTGTCGTAATTAACATACTCTCTTCATACAAACTTAGTGGCAAGTCCCTAATTCCATTCAAATGTGATGAGTTCTCTGTGAGCCAAGAACCAGTGTGTGGCTCAGCTCGCTGCAGTGATGCGTGGCGATATTCCGTCACGAAGGATCCACAAATGGTTACATAAGTATGGTAATGTTGTGAAAGTGAGGCAGTGAAGAGCTAAAGTATACAAGCAGAGCAGAACCTAGCTGGTGGAGGGCATGTTGTTACTCTTGATACACACCGTGGTCCTCACCACAGCCACCCTCGTCACCACCGCTCAGGTAACACTCACCAATGTTCATCATTTACAATCGTAATCTTACACTGCCACAGAATGGCCCTGAGTGGCTGGGGGCATACACCTTCCTCCTTAACACTGATGGTATTCTTGGCCCTTCAAGGAAACGAAAAATATAACTCTTTGTTTGATTGAAATATTTAAATAAACCCCAGAATAAAAGTTCCAGTGTTCGACCTGCAGCCCACAGGCTTTATTCTGAGTTTGAACACAAAAGGTTTGACCCGCAGATATAAAGTACCTTCCCCTGACATCTCCAAAATGTGTTGCTGCTAAATACTTCCCCGGAGTCCCCGGAATACAGAATGTCCAATCCCAGCAATGTTAACAGTAGCTTTCTATCCAGCAGCTTTTCCCCAACTTTTGTCCCCAATATTTAGTGCGTATTTAATCTGGTAATTCTACTTAATAAGACAGACCCGTATTTTATAGCTTATTTATGAGTTAGGCGTAACGGAAAAGGGACAGCAATATTCTTATGCTTTCTTATTGTTCATAAGATACTTTGGTCATATAACAGGAATGAAGGGATAGTAACACTAATATTAATGGGCAAAGTTAAGGGTAGGAGATATCCCTCCCCCGAGTCGGTCAAAATGTCCCCAGGGCACCGAAAAATGGTATCTCCAGGTGGAAGTTTGTCAGAAGAATGATGAGCTTGTCAAGTCTGGGACACACAAGACCTGGGTTGATTACACTTTGACAGCAACAGCAAGATCATACAATACCACTACGAAGTCTTGTTTTGTTTCCTTTGCAGTCTCAGGAATCGGACCATTGTCTCCTTGATGACATCGCTTCTTGTTGAGTGATCGGCTCCATGTATGTAACCTCCGTTTGTAGAAAGTCATCCATAGTGAATTTAGAAAAGAAGCTGATGTAAAGGTCAGCCACATATTGTAAACTCTGAATGAAAGCCAATTTGAACCGCCCAGGAGTTTCGGGCGTTAACATTGCTGTCATTGGACATACTGTATTTATGGGACTCCGGGGAAGTATTTAGCAGCAACACATTTTGGAGATATCAGGGGGGGAGTACTTTATATCCGCGGGTCATTTTTTTTGTGTTCAAACTCCGAATAAGCCCCGTTGGATCCTGCTCTTTGTGGTATTTGCAAGGTTCCCGTTGTGTGGGTCCTTACAGCGGCTGTGTCCGCGTCTGTCGCTGAATATCATTATTTTGCCAACCCAGTTACCTAATATACCTAATGGCCACCCCAAATAGAGGTGGCCAACTCGGGAAATGAGACCAGTGGCCTCCCACTGTTCTTGATAGTCTTGGCACTTTTTTTTTTTTTTTAAGTCCGGTATTGTTCTACGATACCACAGGTTGGAGTCTACCACCCTCTGCATAAAGAAATATTACCTTGTAATATATATATATATATATATATATATATATATATATATATATATATATATATATATATATATATATATATATATATATATATATATATATATATATATATATATATACTGCATGGCACCATAGTTAGCGGCGCGCGACGTAAAGATAATTGATCTGGGTTTACGTCATTCATTCCCCTTAAGATTTTGAATGCCTTCGTGTGATCCGACATTTCATGCCAAGTCTAGTCTAGTTGTTTCCTCTCTCCTTTACAGTACCACTCTTTTCTTTGCTCTGTCTAATCCTGGCATTCTTAATTCTTTTAGGGTTTTTTATGATCATCTGTGACTGTTATCAAACATACTCGTCGTCGTGGACACACGAAGTAGTGTTGCTCTCCCTGACGCCGGGTATATCCTGCCCTTATCAAAAATATTAGTGAACGACTGTAGTACATGGCCATTTAGATCTAATTAGTACTTTTAGTAAAGGAATCCTGATCACCCAGAAAAACATTAGCCTACACTATTACTGCCAGCGCTTAACCTGTTGCTCGACTAATATCCCAACATTCAGCACTTTAAAAACAAGACTTTCGGGGCAAGAGCCATTTCAGCGGAGATCCTCCTGACCAGCAGCTCACTCCGGCCTCAGGACTCAGATGTTCCCAGTGAAGGCCAGCTAACAGATGCAGTAGTAAAGTTTAAAATTTCCACTCCCGTTATTATGAGTATCTCTACCACGAGCTTACCGCAAGGAAGACGGTAGTTGGCTCTCCATCTTAATTGAGTTTTTTTATTACTTTTGATAATGTGAATTGAATAGAGAGAGATGGACACATTTACTTTGTCATTTCTTCCATATTTCCCGCCGCGTTGTCTAGTAGTGAATGATGGTTCACTCTTAACTTAGCCAAACATTGAATTTATGGGAGTGGACATCAGTTTTATCAGTGGATTCATCATCACCAACACATGACAACACCAGGTAACATTTAACAACACCAGGTAATACATGACAACACCAGGTAGCGCTTGAGACCACCAGGTAACACATGACAACATCAGGTAACGCATGAAAAGGCCAGGTAACACATGACAACACCAGGTAGCATTTAACAACACCAGGTAACAGTTAACTACACCAGGTAACATTTAACAACACCAGGCAACACATGACAATACCAGGTAACATTTAACAGCACCAGGTAACACATGACAACATAAGGTAACACATTACAACACCAGGTAACACATGACAACACCAGGTAACATTTAACAGCACCAGGTAACACATTGCAACACCAGGTAACACATGACAACACCAGGTAACATTTAACAGCACCAGGTAACGCATGACAACATAAGGTGGCACATTACAACACCAGGTAACACATGACAACACCAGGTAACATTTAACAATACCAGGTAACACATTGCAACACCAGGTAACACATGACAACACCAGGTAACATTTAACAGCACCAGGTAACGCATGACAACATAAGGTGGCACATTACAACACCAGGTAACACATGACAACACCAGGTAACATTTAACAATACCAGGTAACACATAACAACACCAGGTAATATATCGACACCAGGTAACATGACAACACCAGGTAACACATAACAACACCAGGTAACATTTGACAACACCAGGTAACATTTGACAACATAAGATAACATTTAACAACACCAGGTAACACATGTCAACACCAGGTAACATTTGACAACACCAGGTAACACATAACATCACCAGGTAACACATAACAACACCAGGTAACATTTGACAACACCAGGTAACATTTGACAACACCAGGTAACATTTGACAACACCAGGTAACATTTAACAACACCAGGTAACACATGACAACACCAGGTAACATTTGACAACACCAGGTAACATTTGACAACATAAGATAACATTTGACAACACCAGGTAACACATGACAACACCAGGTAACATTTGACAACACCAGGTGACATTTAACAACACCAGGTAACACATGACAACACCAGGTAACATTTGACAACACCAGGTAACATTTGACATCATAAGGTAACATTTGACAACACCAGGTGACATTTAACAACACCAGGTAAAACATGACAACACCAGGTAACATTTGACATCATAAGGTGACATTTAACAACACCAGGTAAAACATGACAACACCAGGTAACATTTGACATCATAAGGTAACATTTGACAACACCAGGTGACATTTAACAACACCAGGTAAAACATGACAACACCAGGTAACATTTGACATCATAAGGTAACGCATGACAACACCAGGTAACATTTGACAACACCAGGTGACATTTAACAACACCAGGTAAAACATGACAACACCAGGTAACATTTGACAACACCAGGTGACATTTAACAACACCAGGTAAAACATGACAACACCAGGTAACATTTGACATCATAAGGTAACGCATGACAACACCAGGTAACATTTGACAAGACCAGGTAACACATGGCAACACCAGGTAACACATGACAACACCAGGTAACATTTGACAACACCAGATAACACATGACAACACCAGATAACCTAACCTAACTGTAGCCAGGTTCAACATCACTTTCTAACCTAGACAAAACTATCAAGAACAGCCCACCGACCTTCTTCCCCAGTCATGGCCATCTCTAGTTGTGATGGCCGCAGGTAAACTAAGTAGACGAGGTAAATTATTATCATCATATTTCTCTTCGCCAGATCTTAATCATCACAGTCAGGTAATACTGTACGTATCGGACTCACATTACGGAGGATTAAAAGGGTTGTCACGATCCTCTTTTTGAGAATTTAGACTATGATTGTGACCGAAATTGGGTGTGTTTTGGTGTTTTTGTTAGCTAACCTAACCTAACTTGACCTCATCTAGATTGCAATTCTTGTCAAAATCCCCACTAAAGAATATTTTCATGTTATGTTTTTATGCGTTAATGTATACAGTATGTTACTGTGTTATCCCAGGTTAACCTGTGTCAGCCGCTGGCTGGTGAGTGTGTCAGTGAGCGACGCTCCTGCAGAGGCACCAGCCTGGAATTCTTCTGTGGCCGCAGCGCCTACTGCTGCCTCCCTCCAGGTGAGTCACATGAGCTGGTAGTGAGTGGCGGCATCGGTGGTCATTTGACTGATAAAAGCCTGTATAGTAGGTGTGTTTCCTGACACTAAACTTAACAATAATAACAAGTTCGTGATGTCACAGACGTACTGCACTGTACTGTACTGTAGGTGACATAAGGCATTTGTTCGCTGCTGCTCATTTATCACACAACACAGGAGCCGCCGTCGCCGCCGCTGCCTGCCATAGTAAAAACAAACACATTTGTTTATCTGCTGTACCATGGGGAACGAGGCTGTTGGCATGACGGTGGTTTCATAGGCTGAAAATAGATGAGATGATAAAGGCAGTGCCGAGGTGTAAACAGAATGGCGGAATATAGTTGCCAGCGCCACTATCGGTAAAAAATAAACACAAACATGGCCTACAGCGTTAACACTAACACAAGAATAATTTCACGCACATAATTATCTGCTTTGTTCCGGCGACGATCATGTAGACAAACTATGACGTTCTTGAGGTGCAGTACAGGAGCCTGAGATGGGAGCTCGAGATGATACTTTCTTCTTGGTGTATTACATGACCGACTCACCATTCAGTAGTCGATACAAAGAAAGAAAAATGTATGCTTGAAGAATATCAGCCACGATCTATGGTGCTCGTCGGAGTTTCAGTAAATTAAATATTAAATGGCCTAAAAGAGCAAAGCCAAAGCCAGTATTCACCCAGGATGATACCAACGAACGAAAGACTATTTACATAAAAACACAGATCCGCATCTCAAACAAAAGTCCCTTTACACAGCTCAGGGTTCTGTCTAATTGTTGATAGACGATGTGTATTACTAACATTGTTCCTTGCTTTAAGACCTTAGGTGTTGAACCACAGTAATAACGTCGTAACGTCAAATAAAGACCCCATATTGCTGGAGGGAGTCTTGAGCTGTTTGTCAACTCATACATGGCGTTGTAGTATCACAGTATATCTCATCTGAGTTTGGTTCACTTTTGAACAGTAGTGTAAAGGAACTTTTTATCCGAATACATTACACCAAACGTCTGCCCATCAATACAGCACACTACATACACTAAAATATACCCTACATGTGTGTATTTGCGTTAATTCCACAGAGTATCTTTAGCCATATAGGTAGAGGAACACAAACTTAAAAAACCATCAACCCGGCAACCATCGCCACGGGAATCTTATGGGAACAAACAACCTTCCAATTACCACCACATGAAATAAAAAGTTAAGTAGCCGCAACTTTGTACGAAGGTAAGCTTTCCTTCACATATTGCAAATTATTAAGTTATTCTGTTCTTAATCCCTTCAATATGAAATAACCCCTCGAGTACAATGGATTATTAAATGCTGTAACTCAATTCCTCGAGTACAATACCTTACTCCCTCGAGTACGATATCTCGTTAACCTTTTTGATACGATGACCTCTGAGGAAGTTGTTACATTCAGGGGGTAAGTCCCTATTGTCTATTCCCAACAGTATCCCGCCTAGCAGTAGCCAAGAGTGACAAAAGCTGTAAGAAGACGCCAAGAAGGTGCACGAATCGGGGAGGGAAGTGTGTGTCGCCCAGCTCTCCTTGTTATACCCGGAGGGCCAGAAAACTGTGTCCTGGCTCTTGCGACTGCTGCCTCGGAGGTGAGTCTCTCTCTCTCTCTCTCTCTCTCTCTCTCTCTCTCTCTCTCTCTCTCTCTCTCTCTCTCTCTCTCTCTCTCTCTTCACAAGACTTCATAAGCTACATCAACGAGAGCTGATCTCACTTTTTTATCTTTGTCATCAGTTAATCAAATTAGAGAACGTCAATACAGATAACGTGTCTTCATACCCCCAATCGATACTTCATCTTAGCTAGAAAGCTGTCTCCATATCAATGCATAACGACATTTTGGGTCTATATGCTATGTACCATTTTTATAGGGCTTACACGAAGATTAGCCTCCTTTAACCTTAAACTTAACCATCCTAACGGTAACTTAACTTAACTTATCCAAACCTAACCTAATCGTCCAAGTAGCCTTAGAGTCTTTATTCATCAGGTGAATAAGTTGGGAGGTTAAATTCATAGGATCCTTTAGAAGAGCGTCCAGGGAGGAGGGTTTGTTGACCAGGGTCGACTTAATCTCTCCTTAGATCACAAAAACTGTGACACCACACCCGCCTGCAGGCTCCTCGGCGGCTTTTGCTTCAAGGGCAACAAGAAAGTGTGTCGCCATGGGAGTGTTGTTCCTGGAAGATGTGAGGGCAGGGACTGCTACTGTTGCGTTCCTGGTGAGTTCCTTTGGTCACTACTGTACCTGGTGAGTTCCTCTGGTCACTATTGTACCTGGTGAGTTCCTCTGGTCACTACTGCACCTGCTGAGTTCCTCTGGTCACTACTGCACCTGGTGAGTTCCTCTGGTCACTACTGTACCTGGTGAGTTCCTCTGGTCACTACTGCACCTGGTGAGTTCCTCTGGTCACTACTGTACCTGGTGAGTTCCTCTGGTCACTACTGCACCTGGTGAGTTCCTCTGGTCACTACTGCACCTGGTGAGTTCCTCTGGTCACTACTGCACCTGGTGAGTTCCTCTGGTCACTACTGTACCTGGTGAGTTCCTCTGGTCACTACTGCACCTGGTGAGTTCCTCTGGTCACTACTGCACCTCGTGAGGTCCTCTGGTCGCCACTGTTTATCATGTGTGATCTCTTTTTATTAAAGAATAATCGGTAACGTCTTGTTTTATGGGATGCCTCCATGACACTTTGTTTGGTTGCGTTGTTTTCCCAGTAGAGATATATTGTTGTTCTTTTAGATCATAACTCCTGAAATTTACTGTACATAAGGTGACGACGAGTGACAGTGGAGGTGTGATGTTTTGTTTCATAAGTTCGGTGTTTTGTCCGATACTCTGTAATAAACATCCGAAAATGATAATGCAAACCGCCCTCCGGATGTGTCATTTACTATTTATTTATAATATCATTGTTTGGTTACAGATAAATGCTCCTGCGGGAAGGCTAACGGGAACCGCATCGTGGGCGGGTGGATGACGACCCCGAACAACAAATATCCGTGGCTGGTTGGCTTCAAAGTCATGAATTACGGGGAAAATTATTTCTGCGGCGGCACCATCATCAGTCCTCACTACATCCTCACTGCCGCTCACTGCCTCTTTAACCCCTACAATGGCAACATGTTTAAAACAAATGCCTTGAAAGTGGGCGTAGGAGACCACAACCAGGCGACGACTGATGATGACATTCCCAGGGTGACTCGTCTGGTGGACGTAAAGAAAATAATTGTCCATGAAGGTTATAGTTTATTCCAGAATTACCATGACATAGGGTTGGTGCGGCTAGCTGAGGCCCTCGACCTGGTCTCTCATACTCAGGTAAGGGCGGCGTGTCTGCCAAAGGCGCCCGAAAACACGTACGAGGGCGCGATGGGCGTGGTGTACGGCTGGGGCATCATGCACACTGACGCTCTGGAGCAGCCTGACGAAGTGAGAGAAGTTGTGGTTCCTATACTAAACCCAAAGTGTGATGGGAAGTCGGTAGGACAGATGAAAATAACTTCGAATATGTTATGTGCTGGTGAGGAGGACGGGGGGAAGGACACGTGTCTGGGAGACTCCGGGGGACCCCTCACCGTGGAGGAGAGAGATCGTCACCACACTCTGGTAGGCGTCACTTCCTTTGGTTCAGGGTGTGGTAACCCAGATTCCCCCGGTGTCTACACACGAGTCACCGCTTACCTCGACTGGGTTCACGCGAACACCAAAGACTCGGAGTTTTGTTACTAAAACATATTTATGAGTGCAGTATTTAAAATGCCAGTTTATTTGTGAATATGAAAAATATTTTTAGGTTGATTTTAATAAAATATAACAAAATACAACACACAAGCATCATTGTATAAATACAACACACAAGGATCATTGTATATATATATATATATATATATATATATATATATATATATATATATATATATATATATATATATATATATATATATAGTATATGCTGATAACTACAAGGAAAGAAGAAAACACGAAGTTCCCAAGCGCTTTCGTGTAATTCACATCTTCAGGGGTGAGTACAGACTGTACTCACCCCTGAAGATGTGAATTACACGAAAGAGCTTGGGAACTTTGTGTTTTCTTCTTTCCTTGTGGTTATCAGCATATACCTAGATCACGTGCACCTACAGTGATTTACTTGCATATATATATATATATATATATATATATATATATATATATATATATATATATATATATATATATATATATATATATATATATATATATATATGTCATACTTTATGTGTGTGTGTGTTTGCGTATAATACAGGAGAGAGGAGATCCATATCCCTACGGCCACTCTCAGAACACAGCTTAACACTACCAGTGAAATTAATAATGGATGTCCCTAACCGATCTAAAGGTCGACAAATTTACGTGTACCCCTGGTCGGTAATGTACCCCTGATGGGACGCGCAACCGCCTGCACTACTGTACACACGGAGCTAAAGTTTCCCTTTTTCCTGTGTGATTTTATCAAGATTTATCTTATATTCGTTGTCATTGTGGATCTACATGAAATATATATATATATATATATATATATATATATATATATATATATATATATTTATATATATATACTATATATATATATATATATATATATATATATATATATATATATATATATATATATATATATATATATATATATATATATATATATATATATATATATACTCGCATGTTACGAAGCAATTAAGAAGTGTCTTGAAATTATCAGGTGCAGCAGGGAGACAGAGCTCGAGCAGGCGAAGAGCACACAGTGCGCTTGTGTATGTGTAACAGGTGTACACTTGTGAACAACACTGTTTACTTAGTTGGTATTGTGTTGTACACAAGCACCCACACATACAAACAGTCAACAAATATGGTAGGTGTGAGCATTAACTTTAGACCTGAAAGAGTAAACACATGTTATCATTTCACTGTTGCCGCTTTGTATAACATAACAGAACAGAAGTAAACAGTAGCTGTGCTGACCAAGCTCATGAATAATAAGAGATATTCACACGTCTCTCGAACATGCGCCATCGCACTCACTCCAGTGCTTATAATTTTGAAAAACATTCCATCGCTAACATGACATTAAAGCTTTATATCAGCGTCACATCAGAGTTGAAGCAACCACAACCGCTCGTTGGGATGATTTAAGTTCCCAAGAAAAGAATTTCTAATATTCTTTCTAGGTTAGTTGTTTACAAGAGGATGCAACTAGTCATGACAAAGTGTAATTTGGTTGTCAAAAATTTTTCTCAGTCCACCAGTTATGGGATGAGTAGACATAAAAGTAAAAATACAAACCTTTGATATCCACAACCCTCTCAATGTACAGTATAGCCCGAGTCACTCCGTCGAGTTATGGCGTTTCTGCCAGACTTCTTATGTGGCGTTGACGGTTCCGAGTCTTTCATCACTGTAATCAATCAAGGCACGACTCACTTTTCGTACCTTTAGTCGTGATACTGAATAGTTACCTTTCCCTACATTTAAGATTTCCAAGACTTTTTTTCTGTTTGCTTTGGTAATTTCAAATGAGATATCTACTGTCTTACCTGGCAATGTCTGGTTGAGCTGTCACTAGGCATTCCGCCACTTTGTTTCCTTCCTTAACACTTATGATTCAGAGTTCATTCCAATTCTCCTTGGTGATTGGCTGAATGACTCTACAATAAACTCAGGGAAGAACAAAGACACGGTGATTATAGGCAAGTCTTACCTTCGTTTGCCATTATTGTGTATCATGAGGCATTTCCTCATGTAGATAAAGAATGTTCAGGAGAGCATTGAAAATGTCCAAAGGAGGGCCACCAGACTGGTGCCTGCACTGCGGCACCCCAGTTACCCTGAGAGATTAGAGCGTCTGAAATTGCCTAGCTTATACTGCAGACGGGCAGGGGGATATCTAATTGAGGTGCACAAGCATCTCAAAGGGCACTACTCAGTCGAGTACCCTTACTTGGAGCTGGTGGACGCTCGCCCCACAAGGGGACGACACAGCTCAAGGTTGAAGAAGCCGCAGGCCCAAAAAAGTGTGAGGGCAAATTTTTCGGAGTGAGAGTTGTGTACTCTCGGAACAATCTGCCAGAGAGTGTTGTGAACTTGTGACGGCACCGAGTGTGAGCTCTTTCAAAACCAGACTGGATAAGCACTGGAGCAGGTTCAGATACATTCAGGAGCCAGTGCATGTCCAGTACTTGCCAACAGTGCGTAACAGAGACGTAACCGATCGCCCAAGCGGCTAACGAGCCGATCAGTGGTGAAGAGGATAGAAGTAAAAACTAAGCCACTATGCAGACAGAACAGAGGTGGACAGACACCTTGAGGCTCTTGACGCTCGCAGTTTGAAATACACACTATGCTAAAAGCCCAAAGCAAATACATTTTTCCAATAAGAAAACTCTCAAAAAACACATGTGGAGAGAGAGATGAGAGTTAGACTAGAGTCACTAGACCGTAAAGAGACATTTTTAGAACTTAGTAACAAGAATAAGACCAACCTTGGTTGCATGACCACCCCCCTATCGACAGAGACCTTGACACCGGCGCTCATTAAAGGCAAGATTATCTAATATTTATATTAAATATTATCTTGCTGCTAATTTAAGAGGACTGCATTGTTCTCTGCACAGCAGGCAGTGAGGCAGGGCTATTTGTCTCCTACTATAGTTTGTGCTAAATCTGACAGTCAGGTTTTCTTTAGAAGGAACCTGACGTACACTATACCACGGGTAACTAAAATAATTATATAAAATTTTATATCGAGCTTATACTGAAAAGTTAACGCTGTTTGTCACCACTGTGTCTAGGTTCAGTCCCTGGTCGGATGTGGGATAATGAAAGAAAGACTCATTAGGAACAAAGAGGGATTTAACAAGCCGCCAGCCTACTTACTTCCTTCGTCAAAGCTGTAAATTAATTCAAAAGTAAACAATATTATGATACACCGTTTTCAAGGAGATCCAACGTCAGTTTTATGAATCATTTCATTATTTATCAGCTTTTTAGCCGTTTGGACGGTTGTTCTATTCAGTGTAAGTACAGAAGAAAGAACCTGAATCAGATATCTCTTCTTCATAATGTAAAATATGCCCTCTGAAGTCAACAAACAATTTAAGCTGACTTGTAAAGAATCCTGATGGCTCTCAATAGTCTTTGAATGGCAAATGATCGTATGACCTCTTCTTTATTAATAGATGAACACGACAGATTCATCTTCAGAATCTTTCTTTAGTACACTAATACAAGTAGGCCAACAAGTACAGATTTAAGATTAAAGTACAAGTTACAAGCATCCTTATGTGAGGTCTGGATTATAACACTGATAGAACTCTTGGAACAATCTGCCAGAAGTGCTGTGACGGGACCGAGTGTGAGCTCTTTCAAGACCAGACTTGACCTACACTGGAGCAGGTTCAGGTACAGTCTCGTTCAAGATTCTTCGAACACTGCTGGAGACAACTGGCAACTCAAGGACGTTTGTTTACTATAGTACGTAGCATAATATAATACGAAACTACAAACCCCAACCGTGAATTAAGCAACGGGGAATTAAGTAACCAATCACCGATAACCTTTACATTCGTTCATAAGTTTTGCTTCGTACTATAGTAAACAAACGGCCTTGAGTTGACAGCTGTCTCCAGCAGTGTTCGAAGAATCTTGAACGAGAATGCACATTCAGGAGCTGGTGCATGCCCAGTACTTACCAACAGTGCGTAACAGAAGCATGACCGATCGCCCAAGCGGCTAACGAGCCGATCAGTGGTGAAGAGGATAAAAGTAAACAAGTAGAACTGGCTTAGCAGTAGGTAAGATTTTTTTTTAGATTGCCCTCGAGGGGGCTAGTTTATTGGGCACCCCCTTACATCCTGTGCAAGGTGAAGCGCAGAAGCGTTTACAGCGCCCATCTGGGAAGCATGCTAAGTTCATGCTTGCCTTTATGACTCATGCATTAAGGGCGTAGAAGCCTGAAGGGTCATACAGTAGGTAAGAATGCTAGAATGCTGCCTAATACACAAAGCAGTGAACTACCGCCAAACAGGTCAACCAGTAGCGAAGACGATAAAGTAAACAGTTGCAGTTCATTAAGCTCTACCAGTCACATGCTCTATTAAAAACAGGGTCTAATCAAACCGATTTTCCGTTTAGGGGGAGTGATATCGTTCTAGTAGGTGGCAGAAACCGTGGCACGAAGCACCTTTTAAAGAACTGAACTACTGGTAGTGTTTAACTTTCTCATTGGTGTGACACATTCCTGCCGCCTCCCCATCCCTTATTGCTGCTGCACAACTTCCCTTAGTGATAAGTTGGTATGAATACACACTACCCAGACAAAAGTAGTGGTTGGGGAGTAAAGGTAAACACAGCACCGGTATAAACCCATAAATTTGATGCAAGTGTGATAACATATGTGGTGAGAGGTCGCTGACTCCCTCACACACACACAGTAGACTTTATAGTTTATTGTATTATTTATTGCTTCAGAACAGCAGCAGCAACAGGGTCACTTCCAGCAGATAACCTCATTCGTTTGTTATAATGACATGAGACAGTTCACCTACAGTCATGGATAGGATTCAACACACATGCGACGTAATACCTACAACACTCACGTATAATCAATCAAAAACTATCTGTACTGGGGGGGGGGGCGATGAATATCAGAATGAACACTGCGACTCCTGTTGTCTCGGTAGGGTTGTCAAATCCTTCGTCCATTGTGCCATATTTTCTCAACACAATTTTTTATAGATAGTTTTTTAAGTGATTGTGCAACTCACCCAGACAACTTTACACACTCACGCTAAAAAGTGTAGCAACAGAAACTCAGTCGCAACACAATCTAACACTATAACAAGCTATCAAAACACCACACGTGCTTTGATACAATTTGATATCAAAGCAAGCGATCACAACACAATGTTACACTGCAACAATCGTTCAAAACAATACAACATTCGAACAAGCGATCAAAACACAGCACGACACCAAAGACACAACATAACCGAACCCAACCACACCAAACAATTCAGAGTAACGACAAAAACAACTCAACTCAGTGTAGCACCTCCAGCGCACAAACTCAGTATTAAGTAACAATACAAACACGCAGACACAATATTGTATCTCCATAAAAACAGATTCAGCACACTAACACCACAACACACGGACTCACACACTGTACAACCACAAACACGCAGACTCACACACTGTACCACCACAAACACGCGGACTCACACACTGTAACACAATGTTACGATATAGCGCCTTGATATCTCGCATAATTTGTAACGTTGCGTTCTGGTAGTGCGTAAAGGTTAATGAGAGGGTAACGAGGGACCCAGGGAGGTAGAGGCAAGTAAGCCTAACTCTGTTTTCGCGCCAGTAACTGTTGAAGGCGGAACACACTCTGTCGCCAAACTAATAGTATCAGGACTAGCTTCTGATTGCACGTAGTGTGGTGGCTTATATTGGCTAGGTAAATTTTATATATGAAAATTTACTAGTGGTTATAGGTTAGCATAGAGAGTGCAGTGATTTTTAGTTAGGTATTATATATGTGTTGTGTAAAGGGATGTTTGATTAATTTATAGCGTACGTAGCCGACGCTAACTATAAAGAATTGATTGTTTACCCGAGTTGTAACCTCTATTAAATCTTTATTACTACTTTACTCTAAATAATATAGTACAATTTTCTTTATTATATTTTTAAAGTAACCATCATACGGTGTTTGTTATCGAACCCTCAGTAGCTAGATAAAGTTATGAACTGAATAAACTGTGAACAACTGAAAACGGGTTGAAGAGTGACAATTTGTGAGGGATATTTGTTGTTGGACCACAGAGACTGAAGGAGCATATGTCTTGGGTCTCCAGTCGGCACTTTGAGATCGTAACACACCACAACACATAAATACAACAGTGTAACACCACAACACAGAAATAAAACACTAATATCACAACACACAAACAATACTGTAACACCACAACACAACACTGTAACACCATAACACACAGACATAATACTATAACGCATTCATATGACATGATCGCAACACCCAGCCGCTGATACGGACACAGCCACCATAACATAAATCACACTTGCGACAATGGGGCGCCGAGTAATGTGTCATCTTTACGCCTCAACCAAAGGTCATAAACAGAAAAGCTGATGACCAAGTTTATTTTCTCAGTGTGAAAACAAAACTTACGTATGCATTAAAAGGGAAAGACAAGCATTAAGGCAGGTAGGCAGACATATGCATACTAACAAACTAGTACACAGGGGCCAGTGAACCTACGAACATTCTTTGCACATGTGTTTCACCAGCTGCACAATACACACCACACGTATCCAAACATATGAAGGATAATAGTATTTCCCAGTATGTTGAGACATATAGGTGAGAGAAGTTGTCTATTTCCGCTACGCTATTCTTTCTTGACTCAAGTTACTGTGAACAAAGGTCCTAACCTACTAAAAGCTGGAGTCCAGGAAGCAGTAGTCAACAACTATGAGACCATTGATCACTATATCTGCCGTCCTCACGTTGATGCCCATCCACGCAGCCCTCGCCAAGGTACAGTGTGACGCCATTCTTAGGTACAGTGTGGTAGCTTTCTTTCCCGCTCTACACATCCCTCTCCCGCTCTACACATCCCACTCCCTCTCTACACATCCCTTTCCCGCTCTGCACACCCCTCTCCCGCTCTACACATCCCACTCCCTCTCTACACATCCCTTTCCCGCTCTGCACACCCCTCTCCCGCTCTACACATCCCACTCCCTCCTCCCCCACACATCCCTCTCCCCCACACACCCCTCTCCATCCCCACACACCCCTCTCCCCCTGCACACCCCTCTCCCTCTCTCTACACATCCTCTCCATCTCTACACACCCCCTCCCTGCCTCTACACACCCCTCTCTCCCTCTCTCTGCACCCCCTCCCTCTCTGCACACCCCTCCTGCCTCTACACATCCCTCTCTCCCTTTCTACACATCCCTCCCTCTCTACACATCCCTCTCCCTCCCCACACATCCCTCTCTCCCCCACACATCCCTCCCCCCCCCACACACACCCTCCCTCCCCACACACCCCCTCCCCCACATCCCCCTCCCCACACATCCCCCACACACACACATCCCTCCCTACAAACACACATCCCTCCTCCACACACATCCCTCCCTCCGTTTCTCACACACATCACCCCCACCTCACACATATCCGCCTCCCCCACACAGACATCTTTTCCTCCCCCACACATCCCTCTTCACCCCCCACACACCCCTCCCCTACACACCCTCTCCCCCACACATCCCTCCCCCCACACATCCCTCTCTTACACACATCCCTCTCCCTCTACACATCCCTCCCCCCCACACACCCCTCTCCCCCCCCCACATCCTCTCCTCCACACACCCCCTCTCCCCCCCCCCCCACACACCCCCTTCCCCCCCCCCACACACCCCCTCCCTCTGCACACCCCTCCCCCTGCCCCACACACATCCCTCCCCCCCCACACACCCCCTCCCTCTGCACACCCCTCTCCCTCTCTACACACCCCTCTCCCCCTCTACACACCCCTCTCCCTCTCTGCACACCCCTCTCCCTCTCTACACATCCCTCTCCCTCCCTGCACATCCCTCTCTCACCCTTTACACACCTCTCTCACCCTTTTCCCACCTCTACAGATAGATCTATGATAAACACACTTTAATGGTCTCTCATCATTCATTGTTATTTTCAATTCGTATTAATACAACTCATGATAAAAGAGTATTCCAGGAATATATATCAACTAAAGTGGAGATGGAAATTCTGAGTGTCTTCTGTGCTCATACAGGGGACGTGTGAGGATGCTGGGGGAAAGTGTGTGGCAGGAGGGGAGGACTGCCAGGAGATGCTGAGCCTCACCTGCGACAATGGTGCCACCTGCTGTACCCAAGGTGAGTATCGACTCTGCATCTGGCCACAATAACCATTATAGCGTTACTCTCAGTTACGAAAAAACAAAACATATTACATGGAGAGACATTCTCGATAAAGTTATAGTAAGATTCAGCCATAATTTATTATCTTAAACTCTTAAGGTAATAAAATTATTCTCTAAAGTTTAGAGCATAACGCCAAGATCTAGTGGTACTAAATCTGAACATTTTAAATTTGGAACTTCATATTTACGCTTAGTTCTGAACCCTAGAGGTTTAATGTTTCATCTTATTAGATACATTCTGTCACCATTGATCACAAACAGACACATAGATACACACAATCACCGACTGAAGGAGAGCATCTGTACCCCCAGAATCACCACCGCCAATAAGATACGTCAGTAAGAAATGTAGACAAAAGAAGCAGTGTGAGAGAAAAAAGGGGAAATGTGTGAGGAAATGGGACACCTGCCGCGGAAAGACGAAGGACGAGTGGTGTAGAGGAAAGACCTGCACCTGTTGCATCCCGAGTGAGTACAGGCACTCTCTCACACACACACACGTGTATGTTACGGTCATTAGGGATAGTCACCGATTAAATAACTGATGCTTTAGCCTAATAGGGATAACTGTTTGATTTTATTGTTACAATGTCTTGAAAATTAGTTTGTATTTGGTAAAATTGATTCACTTCAATTTAAAACATTGTATATTGTCATGTCACCTACTGTCATATACTATCATAAAACAGATAAATTATACTTAAAGTAAGGGTAGGTTAGGTTTGGTTAGGTTAGGTTAGGTTAAACTAGACTATGAAATGTTAGATTATATATGAGCCTGTTCATTTACAGGTATATGTATTGTGATTATCGACAGGATCGTCTGTGGGCAGCCAAATGTTTCCTAAAAAGAATTACATTGAAGTTAACGTTATTTCGAAATTATCCCTATTGAGCACCACACACACACACACACACACACACACACACACACACACACACACACACACACACACACACACACACACACACACACACACACACACACACACTCACTCACCTACATGCACGTGTATGTGTGTGTGTGTGTGTGTTTGTGTGTGTGTGTATGTGTGTGTGTGAGTGTGTGTGTGTATGTGTGTGTGATTATTGTTAAAATGTTGCCATCAGGGAAGAAGAAAGAGAAGTGTAAGGACACCCGAAAGTGCCTGGACTATGGTGGGTTCTGCTTCAAGAGCAAGACGAAACGGATGTGTAAGGACAGGCCGGTGATGGCCGGAGTGTGTAAAAGTGTCAAGTGTTCCTGTTGCCTTCCACGTGAGTTATACTACATTTACTTCCTATACCACGTCAGATACAAAAGTATGAAAATTGGCGCAGAATTAATCTATGGTATGTAGGTTCATATAAAGCTGGGTACTCATCTATATTCTTGAAGTATCTGGCCGCCATCTTGATTTTCAAAGTGGCCACCGCAAAGTATTCAAACCTTCATAACTATTATCTTCTCTTTTGTATGGCATAGAAAATAGAGCTTTGTGTCTGATATTATATTTTAGGTAAATGAATCTGGTTTTGCCTTTTATCTTGATTGGCAAGCTATGTACAGTACAAGCGTTAAAATAAGTTCCTGTTTGTTTTTAAAGATGCCAACAGTTGTTTTCCCTTCATTTGCTGTTTTTGATGTCGTATGTTAATTAAGATAATATTTTCCTTTGAAATTGTTACTGGCAGACCTACTACGTTCACCTGTCAACCTTTTTTGCAACACCAGATTAGGTTAAGTTAGATTAAGATTAGGTTCGATTTTTTATGAAACTTTTTGGAAGAACATTTTTGAACATTTCTTATTTGAAAGATTTTTTTTAAGAAAATTTTTGCAGAAAATTTTTAAGAACACTCTTGAAGATGTTTTGTAGAACATTAGGTTATGTTTGGAGAGGTTAGGTCACATTATGTTTAGATACGTTCAATTAAATTGGGTTCAGTTTTCTTTGCTCATGAACTGTTTGGTCCAAATTTATACATATTAGTTTTGAACCTCTGACATTAAGACTCAGATCTGACCGAGTTTACCCTGGCATATTCAACACATCCGAGACACTTTGGCAGAATAGTGAAAAGCCTACTGGTGGTTGACAGAAGCACTAAAAATTAACAGTTTGCTCTCTGGAAGACTTTTATGTGTATTTAGTGTCTGAACATTTTCTTGTTCTTCCAGGTGTAGTAGGATAGTTTTTTGTTTTCTAATCGTAAAAGAATGATCTGTCTACTTTCAGCAAACGTCTGTGTGTGTGGACTTGCTAACGGTGATCGCATCGTGGGCGGGAAAGAGGCGACCCCGAACGAGTTCCCTTGGTTAGTGGGTCTTCAGCTTGGTGGGGATAAAACCAAGTACAAATGTAGTGGTAGTATTATCAACAACATGTACATTCTCACTGCCGCTCATTGTTTGTTCGACCAAGCCCGCCAGGCACCTATGAATCCTGCTGACATTAAAGTGGGTATAGCAGACCACAACCAGTTTTCTCAGGACGATGACGTGCCCGGAGTTACTCGTCTGGTCGACGTCCAAAATGTTATCATTCATCCAGGCTATGACTTATTCGACGTACCTGATGACATCGGGCTGTTAAAGCTAAGCGAGCCCCTGAACCTAACCTCAAACAGGGAGGTGCGTCCCGTCTGTCTCCCGCAGAACGATGCTCAAACCTACGAGGGCCTTGTGGGTACACATGTCGGTTGGGGATTAACCTCAGAATCTGCTAATGAGCAGCCGGACGTCCTAATGGTCGCAGAAATCACTGTCCTTGGCCCAGATTGTGATAATAACACTCAAATAGCTGGTTTTAACTTATCGGAGACCAATTTATGTGCTGGTGAGGAGGAGGGAGGAGTGGACTCTTGCGAGGGTGACTCTGGTGGTCCAATAACCGTGATAGAGGACGGCAGCTATGTTGTCGTAGGGCTCTCGTCGTTTGGGGACGGGTGCGCCAGGCCCAATATTCCCGGGGTGTACACTAGAGTCAGTAAATACCTCGAGTGGATAGAAGAAAACACCCAAAACGCTACTGACTGTGACTGAGAACTCCACAAAACGAGCAGGAGCAAAATGAAGAAGAAAACTTTAGTGTGAAAATGCATTTTTTCAAATTCTCTCTCCTGCATGGAAATCTTTTTTTTCCTTTTTTTAGATGTCATCAGTACTGCATATTGCCATCTATCGTTAAACAGAGTATGTACACGCAACTTCAATTAAAAAATGGAGACCGAGAACTGGCAATTGGTTGCCTTAAGCTAACCTAACCTAACCTAACCTACATACCATAGATTAATTCTGCGCCAATTTTCATAATTTTGCATCTGACGTGGTATAGGAAATAAAAGTAGTATAACTCACGTAGAAGGCGCATTACCACAGATATTCGGCTGCCTGCACATTGGCAGCTCCCAGAAGAACCACTGCTTTAGATGAGCGTCACCACCTGTCAACGATGCTAGTATCAAAATTATAACTCTCAGTACCTATATACAGTATACTGCTAATGAATATGATGTATTTCTTTATGTACGAACCTCTTTCCTGCATGGCAGTGAACAGTGACATCACCCACATAAATCTGACCTATATATACTGTTAATGAATATGATGTATTTCTTTGTGTATGAACCTCTGTCCTGCGTGGCAGTGAGAAGTGATACCACCCTCAGTGTCAAGACCTGACTGAATTACTCAGAATAGGCAAACAGTACTCCAAGCTTTGGCAATAAATTTGTTAAACTAAACTAAACTAAAATCTCAGTGCACTGAATGACATCACTGTCAGGAGTCAAGCTGATTTAGGACTACCACATTGAGTGAGAGTATAGCGCTTTAATGCCCTACACTCCCCCCGCTCTCACAACTTCCTGCTGGTAAAGTATATTAATGGAACAAAGTTGCCAGCGAGATACAGAGCGACACTGACCGCCTGGGTGGTGGCATAATAACACGGACCTCACACTGGGAAGTGAACTGAGTTGTACATCATCCAGCAACAGTGAGTCACTCTACCGTTCCGTACTAACTTCGTAAACATAGTCTTGTGTCTTATCTTTTTCAAGTAGTTCGGAGTGACTCGGTGTTATTCAATTTTCACCAAGGCTTATTAATTATATCCTTCACTATTTATACGTTTTTCATTATAATACTGTATGTGTTGACCCATCCGTGTAACCCAGTGTTGATTCACGGATATGTAACTGGCGATAAAGTGCAAAACAAGAATACACTCCAAGCTCTTCAAAGAAACATGAAAATGTATATGATAGTCGTAAGAAGGTACAGCATGAGGGATAAATGAGACACGTTGAAGGAGGGAAAGCAAGAGATAATATTGTTCAGTGTCGAGAAACAAACATGAACTATGAAGGAATTAACAAAAAATTAACCACCCGAGCGCTACCTGGGTGGAGGGGGTCAAGTTAATTTAGGTGAGGTTGGGTTGGATTAGGTTAGATTAAGTTAGGTTAGAGTGGGCTAGATTAGATTAAGTTAGGGTATTAGGTTAGGGTACGTTAGTGTTAGAATGGTTAATCCTCAGATGATCCCAAGTAAGATTGATAGAATTAGAGTCCGAAACTTGGTTAAATAACAGAGAAGATTCATGGCAGATAGCGAGGGGAGATAAGGAGAGGCTGAGAGGTTATCTTTGAGCAGTGGATGACGATGAAGATGATGATGATGATGATGATGATGATGATGATGATGATGATGATGATGATAGTGATGATGGTATGCTGTGGTTAAATGCTGTAATTGTGATACGTCTTACCTTTGAGTTAGAATATTTATAAATCGATGAAAAAAAGAGAGCTCCTAATTGTTGGAAATTTATCATAAAAAATGGGAGTATTTTCAATGACAAAATTTTGTTCGTTTAGTGAAGATGAAAGTAAGTTAGTATTTTCTCTGCTTCACATGACCGCTAGAGAGCTCCTCTTTTCCTAATTTAGCATTTCACTTATCAGCTCACTAGCCGTTCGCAAGGTTGATCTGTAAAAACCAACCGCTTGGGCGGTCGGTCACTTCTCTGGCAAGTACTGAGGCATGCACTGGCTCCTGAATGGATCTATAATAATAATAATAATAATAATAATTAACGGTTTATTGAAAGAGCTTGGCAGCCAGAAGGCTGAAAATATACAGTTACATATTTGGGGAATGGGTTTCGAATTACAAATAATATACAAGTAACATAAGTGATACAAATAAGATATATAATAACTAGATGGGGGAAAGCTCAAACTACAGTGCATTTCAACATAGTGACAGTGCAAGAAGTAGTATTTACTGGGAGTGAATACACTGGTTTATTACAAGTTATTGATAATTTTTACAATGGTTGGGACTGGGCTGTTCTTATAGCGGTCAGTTCGTGCACGTATGGGCTGGATGCGGCTGTGGTGTCGAACAGCAATTCTCGGGCTGGGGATCTCAGGTGGTAGTAGGAGCCGGTGTCGAGGATGGTGTAACCTTCCCCAGTGTTGGTCAAGTCTGGTCTTGAAAAAGTTCACACTCGGTGATGTCACAACATTCTTTGGCAGGTTGTTCCACGAATTCACAATTCTCACGCTGAAAAAATTTGCCCTCACAGTTTTCTAGACTTGCGGCTTCTTCAACCTTGAGCTGTGACCCCTTGTGGGGCGAGCGTCCGCCAGCACCAGGTAAGGGCACTCGACTGAGTAGTGCCCTCTGAGATGCTTATATACCTCAATTAGGTCTCCCCTTGCCCGTCTGTAATATAAGTTAAGCAATTTCAGGCGTTCTAATCTCTCGGGGTAGCTGAAGTGCCGTTGTGCAGGCACCAGCCTGGTGGCCCCCCTTTGGACATTTTCAATCAACTGACAGTCCCTAGCATATCTCGGGGCTTAGACGGGGTAACAGTACTCCAGGCGGGGAAGCACCTCACTCTTGAAGATCATTACGAGGACGGACTGTCTAGATATCTGAACGACCTTGCTATAAGACCTAATAATTTAGTTGCTTGATTCACCTTCTTCTCACAATGGCCCGAGAACTACAGTTCCTTGTCAACATACGAGTATACACCTAGGTTCTTTTCGCATTCATTATTTAAGCAAATAAAAGAACATTTGGAAACTTCTCATGATCTTAAATAACAATGAATAGTTTATTATTATAAAATTTCTGCCTTTGGATTGTTTAATATTTATCCTGACAGTAATGCAGCCGAAAATAGATCCACCAATCACAATCACCTTTACATACAGCCTTACTTTGCCAAGTATTGCCAGGTAAAATTGCCAGTAAGAGACTCAGGGTGGGGTTAGTGCATCTTTGGCTGACTGTACCTGTATGCTTGTGTACCTGTGTGTGTATGTATGTGAGGACGAATGTACAGTCACCCACAAAAACCCGGTAACCTGCTTCATTATTCTGAATCCTAAACCGAACCTTGGAACTACGGCCGACTGCCCGCCCTCTGGCTACCAAGTATTAAACTACAGGAGCCTTGATAGTGTCTAGGGTTAGCCACAGATGGCGCCTCCCTGTGTGCGTAACTCAAGGGTGAAGATAAATGACGTCATGAGCAACACAAAGCCTGGTATGACTTCATAGTGTAATAATGGTATGAATTATAAGCAGTGAGCGACATACAGATATAGTTAAAGAACTTGTCATTCATATATGGGACTTAATAATGAAAAGTGGGTATCCTAACCTAACCTAACGTAATCTAACCTAACGGAGATATGTGATGATGACCGTCTCCTTAACAATTACCCTCATCCTTTATACATTTTGTTGGCCACACTATTATCACCCAATATGTGTGTGTGCGTGTGTGTGTGTGTGTGTGTGTGGTGACCTGTACTGTAATGGTCAGCATGCTCGCCTCGCAAGCGAGCGGACCCGGGTTGGATCCCCGGGCAGGATGAAACTTTACGCCATTTGCCTCTGTCTACCCAGCAGTAATTTGGGACCTGGATGTTAATCGAATTGCTGATCGTATTCCGGGGTAATGGGTAGCCAGTGCAGTTGGCGAGTTGTCCGATCTTTTCGGATTATTCCTTGACACTGGGTCATGCAAATGATGCAGCTCGTTAACTCAGGGTGTGGTCGTTGTGTTGGCGACAGCTTCTACACCTTAAACAATTTCACGCCTATAGGTGGCCCTAAGGCCGGCCATCCTCGTTACACGAGGGGCAACCATTACTTTGTGTGTACCTGTGTGTGTACCTGTGTACCCGTATTTGTGTGTACCTGTGTATGTGTATCTGTATACCTGTATTTGTGTGTACCCGTATGTGTACCTGTGTATCTGTATTTGTGTGTACCTGTGTGTGTGGACATGTGTATGTGTGTACCTATGTATGTGTACCTGTGCGTATGTGTACCTGTATATGAAAAGAGAACAGTACACTCCCCCGGAAGTGGTACGCAACAGGGTAGGTGTGTGAACTTCCTCTGTTGTGTGAGGCAACACGAGAATGTTCCCCACTACACCTTAACCCTGGCGCTACTGGATGACGATGATGATGATGATGATGACGATGACGATGATAACGATGATGACGATGACGATGATGACGATGATGATTTAGTGTATTTTTAGAATTTTTTTTTTTAATAAATTTGCCAAAAGCTGAAGAAAAAAACAAATTGAAGGACATCCACACTATTTATATATATTTAGTCAGAGGAGGGAGTTAGTGGGCAGCAGGTGGTGATGGCGTGGGTAGCGCAGCAGCTGTATGTATCCCAAACAAACAGCTACCGGCATGATATAATGATCAGGATAGAGGGTATATGAGTGTCTGTCTGTATGTATCTAAGTATATGTGGGTGTGTATATGGATGTGTAACTGTAACATTCGCGTCTTGATGAGTGAATGTTTATGTGCAATGTGTAAATGTGTATCCATATGTGTGTGTGTGTGTGTGTGTGTGTAAGAGAGAGAGAAACAAGTACACACACACGCACTAACAATCGCCTCATTTTCTAGAAGCAACTACTACCTGAGCTGTGGAGGTCACCATGAACCTCCGAGCTGACCTCCTTCTTAGCCTCAACCTCCTCCAGGTACTTCCTACAACCATTACCTCCAGTACCTCCCTCAACCATTACCTCCAGTACCTCCCATAACCATTACCTCCAGTATCTCCCTCAACCATTACCTCCAGTACCTCCCTCAACCAGTACCTCCCACAACCATAACCTCCAGTACCTCCCTCAACCATTACCTCCAGTACCTCCCACAACCATTACCTCCAGTACCTCCCCAACCATTTCCTCCAGTACCTCCCACAACCATTACCTCCAGTACCTCCCACAACCATTACGTCCAGTACCTCCCACAACAATTACCTCCCGTACCTCCCACAACCATTACCTCCAGTACCTCCAAGGTTTATATTATTACTTTAATATATCTTTATTTATAATTTTTGCATTTAGTTATCATTAGTTTATCTATTTCTCTCTATATCTGACTATTACTAAGGACATACATGTATTAAATGTCATAATATCGTATTAATAGCACATATGACTAAATAATTTTAATCATCATCTTTGTCTACTAACCTAACCTAACCATCTCCCTCACTTTCAGGTAGTTAACTGTATAGTGTGGTCTGGTATTACGCCCAGACCCATACCCTTCCCTCCCACGCCCTCCACGCCCTCCACGCCTGGTAACCAAGGTAAGGTATTCCTATAACTACCACCATCATTATCACTAACACTGCGACCATCACCACCATTACCATCACCACCATTACCATCACCACCATTACCATCACCACCACCGACATCAACACCATCACCACAACCAACAACATTTATTAACAGTAGAAGAAAAAAATAGATTAAGTTTCATTAACCTAGAAGGACCTTTTATGATGACTTAACCCTCTGATTACCATGTCATTGTGCTTAGTGGAATTGGTCATCGTATTCTAAGGGTTAAGGTGGGATTAAATCATTGTAGTCAAAGGATTAAAATATCTTACCCAATGGGCTAATTCATGTACAGAGGGAATTAGCATCGTACTTTACTACATCACACACACACACACACACACACACACACACACACACACACATACAGCAATAAAAACGATCGCAATTGTGACAACAGTAGCATGGGCAGATGAGTCATGTTGACACACACACGCTGTCCTGCACAACGGCAGAGTAACAATGGTCGTATTATAATAGTTGAGCATCAAGGTCGGGATTTCCTGACGGGGAAGACCTGCATTCATCTATAACTGAGTCAAGGTTGTTTATGTAATGCACCAATGTTCTATCTCTCTCTCTCTCTTTCTCTCATTTATCACACATGGAATGTTTATTTGCCAGTGGTGTTGGCGGCGTGTGGGTCGACACTGACTGTCCAACAGGGAGTCACCTATCTGGTTGCCAGCCCAGGCTACCCTGCCCCCTACACACCCTTTACCTACTGCCGCTGGACCTTCTTTGTGAGTATCTGGTTACTCTCAGGCACTCAGTTCAATTTTTATAATGTCTTCTGTGTCATTTATTACAACATTTTGAGACTGGCACTTTAGATGACAAAATAATAATCGTATTACCAGCCTGTGGTAACTGTTACGAGTTTCAGCACCATAGTAGGAGAGGAACCATAGTTAGAAATAGGCAACAATTTGACGTATATATTTCACACAGACATACTACTCAGGAAGTATATAGTAATGAAAGCATCATAAATAAACAATAATTAATATGTATTGTATATCCTGAAGCGGAGAGAGAGGGGTAGAAGTTACATTAGGAGTGTTGGTGTTGCAGAGCGGCAGTATTAGCGAACGTCTGTTTGTCACCTGCCAAGACTTTGACATCGAGGCATCGTCGTCGTGCCCCAACGGTGCCTTCCTCGCCCTCCAGGACCCTGCCCAGGGCTTCCAGTGGTAAGCTGTCACAACATGTCTGAAAGTGATCAAATAAAGTCATCTTTTATGTACAGCCTTGTAAGTACTACCATGTTTTTAACCGAAACATTTAAAAGTACATGAATTCTCAGCAGTATTATACCACTATAGATAACTAATAACTCATGAAACTCGTCCACTTTGTCCTCACTTTTTAACTGGGCCAATTTTTCCTCTGGACACTACATGAGCGTAAACTTTTCTGTACACCTCCAATTTAGCAATAATTTGTATTTATATTCAAGTTGCTATGCACGCACTGCAACTTTGCTGTTCGTTTTAATCAGCTCTATAACACTAATCTTGACTAACTCAGTCTCTCACCAAAAAGTCTTCCTCCTTCAGGTTCTGTGGGTCAGTGGGTCCACAGACCATAGCCTCTATCACCCGCCCTCTGACCCTACACTTCTGGGCCAGCTGGCAGAACAACAATAATAAAAAGGGCTTCTCCTGCGCCGTGACCACCAACCCTCTCACACCATCAACTGGCGACTGCCGTGAGTAATATGTTACTCTCACTGTTGTCTTATACACCCAGTATCTCTCTCTCTTTCCGTCCTCCTCCATTCCGTCTTCAGTCCTTTCCACTTTCCCAGAGAGTAGGTGAGTGAGAACGACACTCTCTCCGGTAGGGTGTGGACGGATAGCAACGTCCACTCGCGTCGTGGGTGGAAAAGAGACAGGAGTGCACGAGTTCCCATGGCAGGCGTTGGTACGCATCCCCAGCGGCTTCTGTGGAGGCGCCCTCATCAACGAGCGCTTCGTCCTCACAGCCGCCCACTGCATCGACCAGTAAGTGTACAGTCCTCCTACACAGGTTGCTGCACCAGGTGACGACACTGTAGAAACCACAGTAGCTGTAACTTTGCTGATATCTCCGAAGGAGTGAAGTTGTGAATTAGTGTAAATTATCTTGACTGAGGCGGCTAGTCGTTCTGTCTTTTTTTTCTTCATAATTTCATAAGGAAGATAGAGTCATCAATCTGCTTTAATTTCTGTTCTTAACATTAAGTCTTTTGAAAAATAAAGCACTTTTCTACTTGTATCTCATTATTGAACAATTAATTTCCCATTATAAATTCTTGAAGAAAATTAATTACTACAGGTATGCTACAGGTAAGGGATCTATGTTAAAAAATATCTCTAGTTAAATTATCCCTATCTCCTCTACCTTCAACACCTCAAGAGTCCCGGGAAATTATCACAACACGCGACATCAACACCGTCTTTCAGTCACACCTTTATTTTACAAGTTCTTACCCTGCATCAGGCTTAAACGCTACTGAAACTGGATGACTCTCACCATAATATTCCTCGTTATGTATTGTAATCACCTGATGGCCTAGATTAGATCAAACATAGGCACCGTCTGCTCGTATGACTGTTAAGACACTAGCTTTTATTTTGTTACCACGAGGGGATCACTGTACAGTACACTTTTCCTGTGTACTTAAGGTGCACTAATGATCATGTACCTGAGTGAAGTGTGTCAGTTAGTAAAGTACCTACATATGTGCAGTACAGTACCAATACATATATTTCTACCTAAATTATTTGAGTCAGTACCTACATAAAACATTATATTCATGCTTGTATTTATGAATAAGACACTGTATAAAAATGTCTCTGACAGGACCTTAGAACACCACGTAAATTTCTCTTGGTAAATACAGTTATAAGATTTACCTCTGGTGATAGAGGAGACCAGGTTAACACCGGGTACCTGGAGAGTGGCTATATTCACGGATATCATTCCTATAGGTATCAACTTAGAGATGTTAGTTTATATTACCAAATTCATCTGTTCCACAACATTTACTTAATAGCGCAGTAAGTCCCGGTATATAGAGAATAAAATTTATAGCCCAGAGATAGTCGATAAGAGACAGACTGATAGCTATATGAACAGATGAAGTTAGTTTTAAATGCCCTAACATTCTTCTAAAATGGACAGGAATGCACTGCCTGCCGGCGCCCTGCCAGAAGTAGTGCTTGGGGAACATGACCGTACTCGCCTGGATGAGACGCCCTACACACAGGTGGTGGCGGTCTCTCGGGTCATACCCCACGAGAACTACGGCTTCGGACCGAGCTCCAAAGACAACGACATCGGTCTGATAGAGCTGGCCACCAACGTCGACCTGGAGGCCACTCCCAACATCGCCCCGGTCTGCCCTCCAGGAAATAACATCCAGTTCAACAACCTCCCCGTTACTGTCATCGGGTAGGTGACACCTGAACCTGGTCTATGTCAACCATCATCCACAGACGGGTTCAACCATCATCTACAGAGGGGTTCAACCATCATCTACAGAGGGGTTCAACCATCATCTATAGAGGGGTTCAACCATCATTCACAGACGGGTTCAATCATCATTCACAGAGGGGTTCAACCATCATCCACAGAGGGGTTCAACCATCATCTACAGAGGGGTTCAACTATCGTCCTCAAAGGATTAATCATTGTTATAATAAACAGGTGGGGTTTCACGAACTATCCTGGAGCACGAGCTGACGCGCTGCAGAAAGTAGACCTTGTGATGGTGTCGAGGGAGATATGCAAAGACCAGTACCAGGCTGACGTCATCACCGACAACATGATCTGCGCCGCAGCATCCGGGAAGGACGCTTGCTTCGTGAGTTTCTCCTACCTCTTGTTTCTTCTCCCCTCTTTTTCATATTCCCACTTCTTCCCCTTACCACCTCTTTTCCTCTTACTGTTTCTTCTTCCCCATACTACTCCTTCTTTCCTCTTCTTCCTCCTACTTCTTCTTCCCACTTCTGCATCTTCCCCGTATTGTACTCCTTCCACTGGGCGGTGGTATTATAATTCATCTGTCGGTGAGTTACATAATCAGATTTGTGAGCATATGGCTTTCTGAAGCAGTTAAGAATAGATGCAGAATATAGAACAGGTTAGGTATAGAGGCAAGGATATGTAAGGTTAAGTTTGATATGGTTTGGTAAGGTTAGGTTAGTTATAGGTCAGGTTAGTCATAGGTTAAGTTAGTTAAAAGTTAGGTTAGTTATAGGTAAGGTTACATTAGATCAGGTATCCTCCAAATTGTTAATATTCCGATATCGTAACATTATCCCCTTGTCATCCGAAGTGGTTCACATTACGATATCGTAAGGTTGTGGCGATACGGTTGATATACTTAATAAAGGAATTTTGCCTCTTAGTTCCAAGCCACTGATGCTCTGATATCGTAATGTTATTCTCAGCCTATAATGTAATAAATTGTGAGCAGGACGACAGCGGAGGACCCCTCATGACCAGGGTCGGCCAACACTGGCAGGTCATTGGGGTCGTTTCCTTCGGGCCGAGTACCTGCGCTTCACCTGACGTGGCGGGCGTCTTCACCAAGGTGGCCAGTAAGTATGATTACTAACGAGACATTGTAACATTTTATTAACAACATATCTAAAATGTCTTTTCACTCGGGGTTCAAGTATGATAACTAAGATAATTTTTAATTAGCTGAAGGAACTATAAGACGAGTTTTTCAATATAATATCCTATTTGAAATAAAAAAAAATACCCATTCGTAATGAAATTCAAAATGGATGACACTGCAGGTAGAAATCGTACAGTAACGCATCATAGGGAAATACATTTATTATAAAGATAGTTACACTGTTTGTTCGAAATGGTACCCACCAATCTCAAAACATGTTTGTAAACGAAGATACAGATTTCTTTGAGTATTCATCAACATTCCTGGCCTGATGAAGCAGATGTCATCTTGAAATCGTCGTTTGACGTCTTTCAAATCCGTTATCTTGACCGAATAAACTCGTGATTTTAAGTGCCCCTAAACAACAAAATTCACGGGATTCAAGTTTGGGGATCTCGGTGCCCATTCCACCGGTCCTTTTCTTTTGTTCTACTTATTCCCCTACTATGTGCTGGACACCCGGATGTGTTTATAGATATCAAATGACAAAAACGTTATTCTTAGCCCATAAAGAGGACTTTCCAGCCGAGGAAGGAACACTGTTCCCTCTTCAGCCTTCGCTCTGGGTACAAGGTTCTTGTAGGTGTTAAGTACAAATTTTAAGCTTGACATAGACACCTTGGTAGACTACATAAATTAATCTAACATCCTTCAAAAATCAACCTACTCGTACATCAGTGTATCTGATTTTTTTTTCAAGACTGACTGTTTAAATTATTAGAGAAAATATATAAAGTTGCCAGCTATTTACATCTCTAAAGTGGTGGCTGAAGATGTCGGTAAGGGAAGTGCAGCATCACTTTTTTCACCATGTTGTAATTTATAAAGTTACACCATAAAATTCAGCACAAAATGTTTAATAGACTGAAAACTAGACCAATACACCGTTTGGAATATATTTAGAAGATAACAATGAAAATCAGACAAATCAGAAAATCCTCTCTTAAAACAAGGAAGCAAATGTATTATAGGAATTCGTGGTATAATGTTGTCTAGCACTCAGGATGGATGGAAACTCTAAAGTGGTTTTCTTGTATAATATAAGTTATATGATAGACAGTCTGGTGCTGGAGGTGCCGTGGGGTGAGGAGCTGCTCAGTAGAGACGTTCGGTGAGTAGCGTGTTGAAGGAGGTAGATGTGCAGGAGCTTCGTTAGAGAAGATGTTGCCTGTTGCTGGCCTCCTGGTTGAATGAAAGCTGGACAGCGTAGAGCTTGCTGGAGGAGGTGTTGCGTGTTCAGGAAGATGGGCCAGAATGAGAGCTGGTTGGTGAGGAAGCTCAGAGAAGGACAGCTGGTGGGTCGCCATGCTCACTGGCGGGAGCGAGGACCGCCAGGCAGGCGGAGGAGAGGCGAGGGCCGCCAGGCAGCGGCGGAGGAGGTGGTGTTGCGTGTTGTAGAAGTGAGGCCAGAATGAATCTCAATGGAGAGACAGAGCTTATATACCCAGCAGCCGTGAGTCATCTATGAGTCATGTTGGGAAAACCCGAGAAAGTCGCTGGTCTTTGGTTCCGTTGCTAGGGAAGGTGGTAGCAGCTGGTGGCTGCGGCTACGCAGTTGTAGGCAGTTGTAGGGGAGACGTCCACTACAGTATCATACTGGTCAAGACTTCCTCCGTTCTTGGTTTTCATTTCTCCGTTCTCAGAAAAATTACTTTTTTAATCACACGCTCAGGGCAAAGCAATAACAAAGATCGCGGATAGTCCAAAAGCTTTTCGCCGTATTAAACTTTTCTTGAGATACAATGATGTCTGAAATCCCACAACCCTCTGTATTCCTCACTTTATCAACAATGGAAGTTACAGTCCCTTCTCCAAATAATTGTTGAGGCTTGAGAATCCATGCTCACCGCACTCAGTTGGTGTAAACAAAAGTAAATGAATTGTTATCTGCAATTATCGTTTGTATGTATAAAAAATATTCTTTTAATAATAATATATTTCCAGTAAAATCACTTGAAATTGTTTCCTACTATAAGATCATTTCTTTTCAATTTTTAATGTTATAAAATCTCAATAATATTTGGGCCCAGAATGCAGTCAAAGCTTTCTTGAGAATGCAATTACTGTTTTCCTCAGATCTCAGTTTTCAAGCGAAAAATCTGACTGAGAATGGAGGTATCACCATTTTCTCCCGGGAATGCGGAAATTTTGCCCAGTTTGATAGCCACTTAATTTAACCTACCGGTATCTGAATGTATATTTATTTGATATAGACAAAGTTAGGCAGCTTCGGTTGAGAGTAGTTGGTTTGTTGTGCCTGTCTTACGAAGAACGTGATGCCACTGCAACTATGGTGGAAAAGAATCATTATACTGATTTTCATAATTATCATTTAAAGTTTTGAGTTTGCTGGTGTATTGATTGATTACAAAGTGGCAAATGTGGTATTCTTCCCACACAGATTACATCCCGTGGATCCTCTCAAAAATCGGCAACACCAGGACATGCCCGCCTGCCTCATGACCATTCACAGAAAACTTGTAGCAGACTAAGAAGAGATATTATTTTTTCTACTCTAATGCTTCACTGTAATCTGTTGACATAAAAAAGAAATGACGAAATTAAAATAAATAAAATTTCCTTCCATTAATTTATCTTTCAGGAAAGCAATGTTCAGTGATCGTAACCAATCTAAACACCTGAAAGTTAAGAAACAAATAGACTTCTATTCTAAACCTCATATATTTGTAAGTTTCTGTGTGTGTGTGTGTGTGTGTGTGTGTGTGTGTGTGTGTGTGTGTGTGTGTGTGTGTGTGTGCCCGCATTTACTCTCCCCCCACATGCCCACATATGATCTCCACATATTTGTTATCATTGGAATCGGAGAGAGAGAGAGAGAGTCTTCCCTTGCATCTCCGGGTAACTGCTAGTTAATTTACAGTGGTTCTCAACCTTGTTTGCCCCATGCACCCCTTTCACCATATGTCAGAATGTCATTCCCCCCTCCTTTCCAAGATTGTCTGCCTCAAAAAGTGCATTCCAAATAATATGAATATAATACTGAAAATCTTTTATTTTTTCCATATTAGTACATATACATTTACAATTTTACATGGATTATTTTTATAGTGGAGTTTTACAAATTAAATGCCAATTGAAAATGTTGATGGATTTATAAAACTTGAATAAAAGTAAAATAGTTTTTTTTATTTATAATGAATTACTTAACAGACCAAACTGAAGCATAATGCAATAAACAAAAAGTTCAATAGAATACCAGGATATTGTAAATTTGTAATTAATTTTATTCAGATGAAGATTACAGTCAATGAGAAACCTGTGATTGTTTTTTCTTCGCCAATTCTGGGATACGCGGAGGAGTGCTTGAAAGGGCACAACGCAGGTCATTTTCTACCTCTAATCTACTACGTTGCTTCGTTTTAATTTGCAACAGAGTTGAAAAGCCTGACTCACAAAGATATGTCGACACAAACGGAAGCAATGCACAGATAGCTCTTTCTGCCACTTTTGAGTAGGAATCGCACATCAAGGGCCAAAATTCTGTGATTGATTTCTCATCGAGCATATCTCTTGCTCCCGAATCAGTTTTCCCCCCCTGAAAACCTGAATTCTCCCCCTGGGGGAATTCCCCCCTGGTTGAGAACCCCTGTGCTAGTACAATATAAAAGAAAATGGAAGCCATAAAATTGAAGGTCATAAACATTTTATAATGTACATTTTCTACAGATTAAGCGTTTTCACTTTTGTAGTAGTTAAAACGTTACATAGGTACATACCTGTAGGTTGGATAGCTTCAAACATAGGTTGGACGGATATATGAGCGATAGGACGTTGGGTGTAAACAGTACTGTGGAGTTTAAGGGCATCAATTTACAGGAAAAACTAAACTAAGATTATATCTGTTAAAAAATTTATTAGGCTAGGTTAGGTTAGCAGAAATTAGTGTTCAATTTATATTACGTACTAGCGAAGACTCCATTTAATGGTTTTCTGTTATACAACTTCAAGAGTGAAAAAGATGTGTTTCCAAAACTAATCTGTTAGGGAAACACCGATCACGGATTTGGAGTTTGCAAAAACAATTCGAGAATCTACATGCCTGCTTGCATTTTGTATTTTCTTAACTTATATTTATCTATCACCTAAGTCGTACCAACAGTAAGGAGGCGTATCCTGTGACCCAACGGAACGAAGAAACTACATAATAGAGACCGAATGCAAAAAGGACCTGGGTGTGTATGTTGACAATGAACTGAAGTTCTCGGGCCATTATGAGAAGAAGGTGAATCAAGCAACTAAACTTGTAGAGCATATAAGAAGGTCGTTCAGATATCTAGATCAGTGTTCTCCAACCTTTTCAACACTGGGTCACAGTTCTTAGGACCTCTAAATCCTTTGGTCACATAAAAAGTTGTCATCATAAAAAGGATATATTTAATAGGAAAATTATACTTTTGTATGAGTGTACACTTCGAGTATATTACAATAAGTTGCATTTATCCAGAAAAATTTATCATTACATTAATTTTACAGTACAAAGTACAAAACAATAAATACTTACACATACAATTCATTTGTGCAGCCACGCCTCATCACAAACTACATATGGCATTGGATACTTTCAGTGTGATTTTTGTTGCTGGATAGTTGCAATAAGCAAGTTGAATCGTTGGGCGATATTTGTTGTCGCTGCCACTCTCATGCACGCAGACAACATTGTCTCTCCAAGTCTCTGCTTTTTTTTTTTTTTTTTGCTCTTTTTACTTTTACTTTTATCCTCTTCGCCACTGATCGGCTTGTTAGCCGCTTGGGCGATCGGTCACGACTCTTTTCCTTTATATTCTTCACCAAAAGGTCGGCTCGCTAGCCGCCCGGGCGATCGGTCACGTCTCTGTCACGCACTGTTGGCAAATACTGGGCATGCACCGGCTCCTGAATGTACCTGAACCCGCTCCAGTGTTGGTCAAGTCTTCTCTTGAAAGAGCTCACACTCGGTGCCGTCACAACACTTTCTGGTAGATTGTTCCAAGAGTTTACAACCCTCACTCCGAAAAAGTTTGCCCTCACGGTTTTCCGGACTTGCGGCTTCTTCAATCTTGAGCTGTGACCCCTTGTGGGGCGAGCGTCCGCCAGCTCCAAGTAAGGACACTCAACTGAGTAGTGCCCCCTGAGATGCTTATAAACCTCAACTAGGTCCCCCCTTGCCCGTCTGTAGTATAAGCTAGGCAAGTTCAGGCGCTCCAATCTCGCAGGGTAGCTGAGATGCCGAAGTGCAGGCACCAGTTTGGTGGCCCTCCTTTGAACATTTTCAACCAACTGACAGTCCCTAGCATATCTCGGGGACCAGATGGGGTGACAGTACTCCAGATGGGGAAGCACTTCACTCCTGAAGATCGTCACGAGGGACGGACCGTCTAGATATCTGAACGACCTTCTTATAAGACCCAATAATTTATTTGCCTGATTTACCTTCTTCTCACAATGGCCCGAGAACTTCAGCTCATTGTCAACATACACACCTAGGTCCTTCTCACACACAGTCTCAACTAGTACATTTTCTTCATCCCGTTGGGACATATGGTACGCCTCCTTACCGTTGGTACGCCCCAGGTGCATCCTCTTACACTTCGTGACATTGAATCTCAGCAGCCATTCCTTCGACCATTCCTGGAGCCCACAGAGGTCCTTCTGCAGCTCTTCACAGTCCGCTTGGTTCTTAATTTCCCGAAATAACTTGGCGTCATCGGCAAACATTTGTATGGAGGAGTGTACAACGTCAGGCATATCATTTATGAAACAAACAAACAACAGCGGGCCCAATACACTACCCTGCGGTACCCCACTTGTTACAGGTACAGATGACGATTTCGTGCCATTAATCACCACACATTGCTTGCGGTCATGTAGAAAGTCTTCTATCCACGCTAGGACATTTCCCCGAATTCCGTACCCTTCCAGTTTGATTTTCAGCCTTTCGTGGGGTACACTGTCGAAAGCCTTGGCAAAATCTAGGTAAATATTGTCGATATTACCACCCCGTTCTAGAATATGGGTCCAAATATCCAATACCTTGAGCAATTGTGTCAAGCAAGAGCGCCCCGGCATAAAACCGTGTTGGCAATCTTTTACAAGGTTGTTTCGTAGTAGATGTTCCATCGCTGCATCTCTGATAATACTCTCTGCTCTTGATGGTGAGCAGATCTGAGAACCCTCTCTCAAAGGAGTGAGTGCTGTGGAATGTCACCAGAACTTGGAGTGTTTTACCAGCAATCATCTCATATGCTTCTTTCTGGCTCACTGCTACCCAAAAGTCGGTGCGGTTGTGGCTGTTGAAAAAGTCATTCATTTCTGAGCCACAGTGGAGTTCGATCAGTGTGTCTTTTTCTTGAGTGGTCAGATTGCTTTCGTTCAAGTTTGAGATAAGGAACAGGTTTCTTTGTAACGACCACGGTCATACACGTCAGTTAACGCCAAAATCAAATGATTCATATTACGCTCAATAGCCCACAAAACATGTACCTCTGCTTTTATTTTGAGTCCTCCATCTGAGGAGCCCGTTTTCTCATCACTTCAAGACACCTCAGTCCTCCGTTATCCCATTTTCTCTGACTTACTGAAACCAACCTCTCTATATAATGAATTTGAATGTGAGAGAGAACACCCTTGTTTTGAGTCAACTTAGATATGTCTGGTTACAGTTGGAACATTCAAGATCCATTGTGAGTGGTGTTGAACGCTTCAACTGTCCTTATTGTTAGTAAAACGTGTCAAGTAAGCGAGTGTTGAGTTTGCCAGCTAGAGTGGCGTATTTTATGTCGTCCGTGGGGATACCCATGAGTTTTTGATCGCTACTGAAGTTATGTTATTTTGTCACCCCGACATCAGAGAATCTGATGTTCATAGTTTAGTTAGTGTCAGTTGTCTATATAAGAAAGTCATTAATCTTCTGAACAGTTCCTGTCAAACTCAAAATTCTCCAAGATTTAACGGCCGTTTGACCGGGGATGTGGTTTGCGGTCAGATCAATAGAGTTGCGAACGCATATATAACTTCAATTCACCTCTTTACTGACAAACTCAACCTCTGATTAAATCATAAATATAGATGTAGAAAATTAGTCTGATCTGTGACACTGACGGTCACAGCTAGGTGTCCAACGACTACTGTGAATAGAGGGTCTATTGTTAAAAAAAATTGTCTTTCTAGTCGGAATATGCCCTCAGGCCCGTATATATGCAGACGCGCGAGGAAAAATCACTCCTGTGATTTTTTCTCCACGTCTCCAGGTATGTTCACGTGTGTTCCACGCCGCCATATTAACTCAGTTGAACTTAGTCATTTTTGTGAATATCAGTGTTCATGTTTTAACATAGTACCTTCAGTGCCAATTGAGTCAAGTAAAGTAGAGATCTAGCTATCGTCTGAACCGGTGCCAGACGTATGTTTTGTATAGTGAAGTTAAATATTCACTCCCTCTGTGATTTCTCCTCCACGCCTCCAGACGCGGGTGTGTTAGCAACTCTCCTGAGGGTCGATAGCTACCTATGGGCAAGATGGTTCTTGAAGACTGTCTCTAAGGGGGCGCATTTAGAATCCCAGGACACTATTCCCCCTGGAAGCGCCAGTGTGTTACGAGTCAACCTCCCTGAGTGCACCTAGCGAGCGAGCCTTCAGCTTGGCGGTCGCTGTAAACAACTCCACCTGGAGATTGTACTTCATCTATTGCATGGAGCAGTGTCGGCCCATGTTTGGAGGGATAACTAGCAGAAATATAGTATCCCGGGTTAAGTATTGAACCCCTGAATGAGAGTTCAAGGTACCAGGTGGTTCCTTGTGAAATGATAAGAAATATTGTATGTTACTAATTGTGGAATTGCCCAGTGTGTTATGTATTCATCTGTAGTACCCATGAAAGAATAACCTGAGAGTATAAAGCTCTAATCAAGAAGTGGAGAAGTAATTTGTTACTTGTTAAAGTAAG